CTCCAATAAAAAGACACAGACTAACAGAATAGATGCGTAAACAAGACCCAGCAATCTGTTGCATAAAAGACACACATAAGTCACAAAGATAGATATTACCTGAGGAAAGGGTTGGAAGACAGCACTCCAAGCAAATGGACCCAAGAAACAAGCAGGAGTAGCCATGCTAATATCTATAAAATAGACTTTCAAACAAAATTAATAAGAAGAGATGGGGAAGGACACTTCATACTCATCAAGGGAAAAATTCACCAGGAAGACATCACAATCCAGAACATCTATGCCGTAAATACAAGGGCACTCACATTTGTAAAAGAAACATTGACAAAACTTAAACCACACATATATCCCCACACATTAATAGTGGGAGACTTCAACACCCCACTCTCAACAAAAGACAGGTCAACAAAACAGAAATTAAACAAAGAAACAATGTCTCTAACAGAGGCCATGAATCAAATGGACTTAACAGACATTTACAGAACCTTACATCCAAACAGAAAAGAATTTACCTTCTTCTCATCACCTCATGGAACCTTCTCCAAAATAGACCACATAGTTGGTCACAAAGCAAGCCTCAACAAATACAAGAAGATTGAAATAATGCCTTGTATCCTATCTCATCACCATGGAATAAAGCTGGACCTCAACAATAACAGAAATAGCAAAAAGCCTACACACATGGAAACTGACCAACTTGCTACTACATGACAACTGGGTTAAGGAAGAAATAAAGAAATAAATTAAAGTCTTCCTAGAAATCAATGAAAATGAAGACACAATATACTCAAACTTGTGGGATACAATGAAAGCAGTGCTAAGAGGAAAGTTCATAGCACTAAGTACCTTCAAGAAGAAATTCGAGACAGCTCATTCAAGCAACTTAATGGACCACTTAAAAACCCTAGAAAAAGAAGAAGCAGACACACCAAAAAGGAGTAGACAGCTGGAAATAATCAAACTCAGGGCTGAAATCAATCAATTAGAAACAAATAAAACAATTCAAAGAATCAATGAAACCAAGAGCTGGTTCTTTGAGAAAATAAAAAAGATAGACAAACCCTTAGCCAAACTAACTAAAAGGCAGAGAGACACCACCCAAATCAACAAAATCAGAAATGAAAAGGGCGACATAACTACAGACACTGAGGAAATCCAAACAATCATTAGGACTTACTTCAAAAGTCTATACTCAACAAAATTTGAAAACCTAAATGAAATGGACAATTTTCTTGATCAATTTGACTTACCAAAGCTGAATCAGGACCAGGTAAATCAATTAAATAGTCCTATATCCCCCAAAGAAATAGAAGTGGTCATCAAAAGTCTCCCATCCAAAAAAAAAAAAAAAGCCCAAGACAAGATGGTTTCAGCACAGAATTCTACCAGACCTTCAAAGAAGAGCTAACTCCAATTCTCTTCAAACTATTCCACAAAATAGAAACAGAAGGAACATTACCAAACTCATTCTATGAAGCCACAGTCACCTTGGTACCTAAACCACACAAAGACCCAACTAAGAAAGAGAATTTCAGGCCAATCTCCCTTATGCACATTGATGCAAAAATACTCAACGAAATACTTGCAAACCGAATACAAGAACACATCAAAGATATTATCCACTATGACCCAGTAGGCTTCATCCCAGATATGCAGGGGTGTTTCAATATGTGGAAATCCATCAATGTGATCCACCATATTAACAAACTGAAAGAAAAAACCACATGATAATCTCCCTAGATGCTGAAAAAGCATTTGACAAAATCCAACATCCATTCATGTTTAAAGTATTGGAGAGATCAGGGATACAATGCACATACCTAAGCATAGTAAAGGCGATATACAGCAAGCCTATAGCCAACATCAAACTGAATGGAGAGAAACTTACAGTTATCTCACTCTAAATAAGGACAAGACAAGGCTACCCACTCTCTCCATATCTCTTCAACATAGTGCTGGAAGTCCTTGCTAAAGCAATAAGACAGTTGAAGGAGATCAAGCGGATACAGATTGGTAAGGAAGAAGTCAAATTATCACTATTTGCAGAGGATATGATAGTATACGTGAGTGACCCCAAAAACTCTACCAGGGAACTCCTACACCTGATAAATACCTTCAGCAAAGTGGCTGGATACAAAATTAAGTAAAAAAAAAAAATCAGTAACACTCCTGTATACAAAAGACAAAAGGGCTGAGAAAGAAATTAGGGAAACAACACCCTTCACAATAGCCACAAATTACATAAAGTACCTTGGTGTAACCCTAACCAAGCAAGTCAAAGACTTGTATAAAAAAAAATCAAGTCTCTGAAGAAAGAATTAGAAGAAGATATCAGAAGATGGAAAGAGCTCCCATGCTCATGGCTTGGCAGGGTTAACATAGTAAAAATGGCCATCTTACCAAAAGCAATGTACAGATTTAATGCAATTCCCATCAAATTGCCAACAAAATTCTTTACTGACCTGGAAAGAAAAATTCTTAACGTTGTATGGAATAACAAGAAACTCAGAATTGCTAAAACAATCCTCTACAATAAAAGATCTTCTGGAGGTATCTCCATCCCTGATCTTAAGTTGTACTATAGAGCAACAGTTATAAAAACTGCATGATACTGGCATAGAAACAGAATGGTGGATCAATGGAACCAAACAGAGGACCCAGAAATAAACCCACACACTTATGGACACCTGATCTTTGACAAAGTTGCCAAAACCATACAGTGGAAAAAAGATAGCATCTTCAACAAATGTTGCTGGTCCAACTGGATATCTACATTTAGAAAAATTCAAATAGATACATACTTATCACCCTGCACAAAACTGAAGTCCAAGTGGATAAAAAACCTCAACATAAAACCAGACACATTAAATAGGCTAGAAAAAAAGTGGGGAATACCCTAGAACTCACTGGTACAGGAGAAAACTTCCTGAACAGAACACCAACAGCACAGGCTCTAAGAGCAACAATCAATAAATGGGACCTCATGAAACTGAAAAGCTTCTGTAAAGCAAAGGACACAATCATCAAAACAAAACGACTGCCTACAGATTGGGAAAGAATCTTCACTAACCCTTTATCTGATAGAGGCCTAATATCCAGAATATATAAAGAACTAAAGAAGCTGAAAAGCAGCAAACCAAGTAATCCAATTAAAAATGGGGAACAGAGCTAAACAGAGAATTCTCTGTAGAGGAATATCGAATGGCAGAGAAACACCTGAAGAAATGCTCAATGTCATTAGCCATTAGGGAAATGCAAATCAAAACAACCCTGAGATTTCACTTTACACCCATCAGAATGGCCAAGATGAAAAAATCATGTGACAATACATGTTGGAGAGGTTGTGGAGAAAGGGGAACCTTCCTCCACTGCTGGTGGGAATGTAAAGTTATACAAACACTCTGAAAATCAATTTGGCGCTTTCTCAGACAACTAGGAATAGCTCTTCCTCAAGATCCAGCCATACCACTCCTAGGCATATATCCAAAAGAGGCTCAAGTACACAAAAAGGACATTTGCTCAACCATGTTTGTAGCAGCTTTATTTGTAATAGCCAGAAGCTGGAAACCACCCAGATGCCCCTCAACTGAAGAGTGGATGCAGAAATTGTGGTACATCTACACAATGGATTATTACTCTGCAATGAAAAATATGGAAATCATGCAATTTTCAGGTAAATGGTGGGACCTATAGAGGATCATCCTGAGTGAGCTGTTCCAGAAGCAGAAAGACTCACACGGTATATACTCACTCATATAGACTTATAGGATAAACCTAAAATCTGTCCATCTAAAGAAACTAATCAAGAGAGAGGACTCTGACTAAAATGCTCAATCCCCATCCTGAAATGCAAAGAGTATGGACATCAGAAGAAGAAAAAAGCAGGAAACAACCTAGGAACCTGCCACAGAGGGCCTTTGAAAGGCTCTGCTCTGCAGACTATCAAAGCAGACGCTGAGACTTTATGGCCAACTGTTGGACAGAGTGCATGGAATCTTATGTAACAAGTGGGAAATAGTAGGTTATGGAGAGAACAGGAACCCCACAAGGAGAGCAAAAGAACCAGAAGATTTGAACACAGGGGTCTTCCCAGAGACCCATACTACAACCAAGTACCAGGCATGGGGATAACCTAGAACCCCTGCACAGATGTAATCCATGGCAGTTTAGTGTCTAAGTGGGTTACATAGTAATGGGAAGAAGGACTGCCTCCGACACAATCTGATAGGCCTGCTCTTTGATCACCTCCCCCTGAGGGGAGAGGATTCTTACCAGGGCACAGAAGATGACAATGCAGCCACTCCGGATGTGATCTGATAGACTAAGATCAGAAGGAAGGAGAGGAGGACCTCCCCTATCAGTGGACTTGGGGAGGGGCATGCATGAAGAAGGGTGAGGGAGGGTTGGATCGGGATGGGAGGAGGGAGGGGCTAATGGGGGGATATAAAGTAAATAAAGTGTAAAATAATAATAATAATAATAATAATAATAATAATAATAATAATAATAATGAAAAAAGAAAGCTTTTGGGCTCATGGAAATGTCTGTATCATCATTGTGACAAGTTTCTTGACACCAAGTATTTATTAAAACCTATTTATATATTAAAAAAAACTAGCCAGCTCAAGGCTTACTCAATAAGATGGAATTACTGCCCATTACTAGCCTACTACACATGTGTGATGAAGCCATACATGAGAAACTACTCCTGTCACCAGTATAATTTCTAGTTGTATTCTAAATATGGAACCTCATAGTCACACATAAGTGTGACTCCTCCCCTTTCAGTGGTTGGGATGAGAGGGACCCATAGGCTCGTAAGTTTCAGTGTTTTCCCCGGAGTTGATAAATGTTGGACAAGTATTAGACCTTTGATGAGGCCTTGCTGTGGATGGATTGTCACTGTGGGTGGGCTTTGAGTTTTCAAAAGTCCATGCCATTCTCTCTCTCTCTATGCCTCTCTGTCTCTCTCTCTCACACACACTTTGAGACTAACTTTCTCATCTATGTTCTAAAATCTGCATGTTACAGTTTCCCTTGCAAATAGACAATATTGCAAATGCTTTGTTGCAAGACACAGGATGTGGAAGGGGGTCCAGCCCCCATAGCAGGTTTGAGGACAGGCTGCAGGTGCCTGAGAACCAGTGTGTGCTTGCTGCACAGAAGTACACGGCTGAGTCTCCAGGCTGAGTGTCTGTGATGTCCAGGGAGAAGTGTTTGGCTTTCTTATCCAATAAAATGGTGAGTCTTTGGTTCTGCTTTCTGTCCACATTTTCACGAATGTCTATCACAAGGTGGGGACCCTTTCCAGCTTCTTGCTTGTAGCAAGGGAAGTATGAGAAAGCATTGTTTGTGTAAGTGCAGTTGATGACAGCGCTGCCTCCCTCTCGAACGCTCAGGGAAGAAGGGTGCTGCTCCACCTGCTCTCCGAGGCTCTCCCCTACACAGAAAGAAAAACAGAAAGAAAGAGGACAGTCAGCAGCACTCTGCTGAATTCTTTGTCTAGGATACCGAGAGGGAACTGTGTGAAGTGGATTTCCCACGGAAGCCTAAGAAATATCCACTACATATTTTCTCTTGCCCCCAGAACTTCAACTCACAGTTCATCCACAGCCACAAGAATGGGACCATAGTACTAATGGATGGCTTCATTATTCTTCCTGCCTGGGATCAATGCAGACTTTCAATCTCTTGCCAAACAAGCTATTTGTGTCTCCAAATTGTCCCCTTTTCTTCTTATGTAATCCAATCAGCCAATAAGAAAACAAATGCTTCTCTCTCCCCTATTCCTTCAGAATGCAATGACATGAGCTTGCTGCATGCTATTCATCAGCTGCGGCCTCCTGCCACCTTGTGGACACATCCCTAATTACCTCATGTTGTGAGTAAATTTGCAGAGATTGGGAGGGGTTGAATTTCTGAGTCTTTACTAGTAAACTAGAGAGAGGTACAATCTCTTGGTGCCATTGAACAAGGAGCTGAATTAAAACATTTGAAATCAAAATGTTCCTATGATTCATTCTTATTGACAAAGGAAAGAAAAATTTTAATTTTCAGTCAATATTATGTTTTCTGGACAATAGAATGTTAAGTTTGGAGGGGAATGAGTATAGAAGAAAAGACAGGTGGGTGAAGGGACAGCTAACAGAAGATGTTTGAAAATTGTATTTGTGTGTGTGTGTGTGTGTGTGTGTGAAAGAGAGAGAGGGACTAAGTAAATTATTCTACACAAAGCATAATACTTCCCCAAGGAGCAATAGATTTCCAAATAAAAAGTCTGGTACCAGGTATGGGACACAGCCCCTAAAGTTGTTCGTCAGGCAGTCATAAAGACCCTAAAACAATAACCTGTTGCCATTGCTCTGTTACCCTCCAGAACTTGATGACAGGATCACATTGTTGAAGATACCACAAGTTTTAATCACAGGACATAGAGACATCAAGCCAGTACGACTCAGGAGACTTCCTCCCTGCTGGCTACATTTTATAGTGTTAGGAAGTGCGACTCAGGCTGCTAGGGGAGAAAAGTCAACAACAGTCTTAACCGGCTGTGAGCACTGAGAGCTGCAATAATGGCCAGCATGGCAAGACACAGATCTGCCATGGGTGCAGGAGCGGACTGAATGTTATGGGATGGCCACCCACGTTCTGATTAGATTGCAGGCTCTTCACAGCAGAGACATGCATGGCTGCTACTCTAGACCTGGCCAAGAACCTATGCCTATGGAGCTAATGGGCCCCGAGGGGAAGCTACTGCTATCATTTTGCTGAATGGGTGAAGTATCACACTTCCATCTGCGTTCACCATAGCCATAGGTCAGTGCGGCTTCAGTCCTCATTAGAGAAACATTTGTGTGTGGTGTAGATGGTGGCTAATGCATACACTCACAGCTGGTCGCAGCGCAAAGATTAAATGTCTGCGGAGTGCACAGCTATGAACATCACATCTATAGAACAGCACTGCCCCCAGAAGGCTCAGGAAACATCACAAAAGTTGTCTAGGGTGGTTCTAAGAGCCAGAGGTCAGGGATGAAATAGTGACGTCAGGATAGGACAGAACTGTTGCACTCAGGATGCTGTGATTGCCGGAACAAGAAGACCTGAATGTGACTAAGCCAGTCAGCTTAGTCACATGGAGGAGCATGGAGCGTGGAGGAGGGGCTCAGGAGTCCCCACACCCTGCTGAGGAGCTATTAACAGCTGTTAGCTGTGAGGAGAGAGAGTCAGGTTTTCTTCAGTAGTGTGATATGGTGTAGATTCATCATGTTTAAGTAAACAGAAATTAACACAGAGACCCACAACCAGCCAAGATACAGAGACAAGACACTGCAAAGTGACCAGCCAAAAATTGGACATCTGTGTTACATCCTTCCTCCCGAGGCTCAGGAGTTATTGCAAAAGAGAAGGAGGAAAATTGTAAGAGTGGAGGTGGTGGGTGACTACAAAGCATTTTCCAAACACAGCGGGACGTTGTACATGTGAACCCAGAGTGGCTTGTACAGCATGCATAAGACCTGTGCACGTTCATGTCAGATACAAATTCCAGCATGGAGATTGATTGGGCCATGCATTACTGCTTATATATAACAGTGTCTTCTATTTCCTTTTCCTCCTTTTCTGTACTTTTTTGTTTTTTTTTAGTTTTCTGCTCATCTGTTTATTTTTGTTTCTTGCACTCTCTTGGAAAATATTGGATATATAGGAAATTGAAATACTTTCATGGTCTGTGAAATTTGACAGCTTTTACTTAAAGACATTAAAATGTCCGAAATTCATACACGCAGGAGGTGAAAATGGAAGTTGATAAAGGCTCTGATTGTGAGAGAAGGTGCAATCATGTTCTCAGTATTGCATGCTGGCATTGTTTTTGTTACTTCTCATCTGTGTGCTGTAACTACAGTTTATCAGTCAAACTGATGAACTCTGAAATCTATAAGCTATACAGCTGGTATGTATCTTTTAACAAGCCACTGAGATTAAGTTAAAAAATAGTAACTCAAGAAAAGACACATCTGAGGAAGTGAAAAAGATATAGAATATTTTTAGAACAATCTTGTGGAAAGAAGAAAAGAAAAACATGGAATGTAGAAAAATATATTATTTATACAATATTATAAACACATATATATCTTATATATCAACGGTGTTTTTCTAAGAACAAAAAGTATATCTTTCCTTAAGTGTTCAATGAAAATGTGACATATTGCAATGCAACATAAGATAGACTGAAAAAAAAAAAGAGAATATCATCATAGGCATCAAGAACAACAGAATTTTAGAATTGAAAACAGCTTAATTTAAGTAATACATGTACTACTTACATGATTGGCAAACATTTCCTTCAACTTTGGGATTCTCTTTTTGCTTTATTAATGGTATACTTTAAATCATAAACATTTAAAAACTAAGCCTATAACTCAGAAGAGCACTTGCCTAGGATTCATGGGGCCTAAGTTCAACCCTAGCATTGAAAAAAACTAAAAATTAAATGTTTCTTCAGACATACAGCTTGATCCTCATGTGGAAACTCTAAGAGCAGGAGCAGGTGCTATCTCTGACTCTGTTGCCTGTCTTTGGATCTCTCTCCTCTAACTGGACTGCCCTGTCTAGTCTCAAGAGAAGATGAGCCCTGTTCTACTTGATCTGCCAAGGTGGGTTGATACCCCCAGGAGGTCTCCCCTTCTCTGAGAAAAACAAAAGTAGGCATAGGTGGAGGGGAGGGGAGAGCAGAGGGAGGGTCAGGAGAAGAAGACAAAGGGGTAGTTTCAACCAGAATTTAGGGTTAGTCAATTTATTAATTAATTAAAAAATTAGATGTTTCTCACATCGGTGAGGACCAACTAGTTTATCTTCAGTTTATATTTTATATTCACTATTTTCTTGCCCTTTCATTGTCATAACCTAGATACATTTGCCCAAATCATGTCATGAAAGTTTACCTCTGTTACTTAAACATGTTATTTTGGGGCTTGAGAGATGGCTCAGTGGCTTGGAGCACTAACTGTTTTGCAGTTTGGCTCCCAGCTGTGAGATGCCTGTAACTTACAGCTCTAGGACACTTGATGTGTCCTCTCTCTCTCTCTCTCTCTCTCTCTCTCTCTCTCTCTTTCCCTCTCTTCCCCCTCCCTTCACACACACAGAAAGACACCATCCAAACTGAATAATTTTTGGAAAATGATTCATAAGTTGGTTGTTACATTTTGGGTCTGGGATCCATTTTGTCTTTTGGAATATCCTACAGAAAGAAGGAATTTTCCTTCCATCAACTTGTGAATGTCCATCTATTTGTCCTTAGATTTCCTGGAGGTCTGTGAATCTCTTTGGAATAGCTGTCTATAACACTTTATCTAATTCTTGCCCTCTGTTATCCTCTAAGTGCACCACAATCCAAGTTTATTTCTCCTAACAAGGTCACCTCTGAATTGCCCAGTGCTTGATTCAGTTTTTCTCTCTTTGACCTGTAAACAGAACTGAGTCCTCTCATCTCTTTATCTTACTCCACTTTTCCCCCAGGACCAAAGCACCCAAGATGCAGCATCTTTTTAGTACACGCATATCATGATTGCTGACAGATTGCACGGAAAAAGAACACACTAGAAAAATAAGGAAGAGGCTACAGAATGTGCTAGATTTTGGCCAAAAGAACAAAGAAAGCCACATAAAAATGGGAGGAATGTATTTTCACAAGACATAAACTGTCTCCACTGAGAGCTTCTACATCTAAATTCAGTCAAACATAAGAATCTTTACAAGTAACAAATACATTATCAGACATTGAGAGGAAATAAATGAATTAACCCTTTATCTCTGCAGTTTACAAGGAAGATGTGTAGGAACATGCAGCCTCATGTAGGAACAAGACAGCCTCTTGGCTTGTCTCTACACATGATAATTCCATGACTGACATGAGTCAGGTTCCACAGGTTAGAATTATAGAGGATTATGAGCATACAGACAGTTTCATTCAACAAAAGATTTTGTATTTAAGAAATCACACATTCTGCCTTGATGGTGATTCATGCCTATAACTCTAGATCACTGGGGGTACAGGTGAGAAGAAGAGTTCAAGGCCAACCTCAGCTTCACAAGTTGTCCAAGGCCAGCCTGGGCTACCTGAAATCCCATCTCACAAAACAAAAACTAAAAAGGGAAATCACTGTTGTGTGTGACTGCTTTCACTCATCCTGATAAAGTATAAAGTAAGGCATGGTCCCTTCCTAATTTGTTCTTAATGTTACTTTGAATGCTTTTATACTCTAGCAGTACTTGGGTGTGTGGTGAGCATCAACAATAGAAGTCCTGCCTGTGGCCCCTAAAAGAGTGATCTCAGAACAGTCAGCAGCCAGTCCTTTCCTCCTCAGAGTTTGTGCTCAGCTCCCACTGTGGTTTCTGCCACTGTGTCACCCAGAGCACAGTAGTACACAGCCGAGTCTGACTCTTGCACCGAGGCTTTCTGCAAGTGGAAGGATTTGGTTTCCTTATCATATGTGGCTTCAAACCCTCTGCTGCTTCCCTTGTCATTGGCCTTTGAGACTCTAAAGAGGAGCTGTGGACCTTCTCTGGGATACTGCACATACCAGAACAGGGAAGGGTACTGTTTGGTTTCATAGGAACAGTTCACACTCAGAGAACTCCCTTCAGAGAGCGTCATT